AATTTTGTAGGCATCGCCCAACCCTTGTGTGTGGTGTGTGTGTGTGTGTGTGCATTTTTTATTGCTATTCTCTTTCTGCCAAAATCACTGGAGTCTCTTGGACGTAATTGCTGACGTAATCTGCACTCTGCGCATGCGTTGGCGTCTGTACCACCTGTCGGAAGCTCCGTCTTAAACCGGACGCTTATCCAGTTTTAATCCACTCTTTTTCGTTACTTTTTATATCCTTTTATTTAACTTAAGTTTTTAACTTAAGTTTTTAACGTAAGTTTTACGTGGGTTAAGGATTTTAGTCATCCGACATGGATTTTAAGCTAGATGACCGTAAAAAACGCGATCAACGCTACAGATCACAACAAAGCTCCGGGACTATGCTAGCCGAGATAACTCTGCCCCATGAGGACTGCACATCCTTAAGAAAGCGAACAAGAAGATTGCTGACCTTATGGAGACATCTGACGACTTTCAGAGGAACTCAAAGAGAAAGATTCCCTGCTGACTGGCTTTAGGATGTGGCTTCAGTACAAGCCAAACAGATTGTTTCTCTTAGCGCAACCGCTAACATCCAGGACACTGTGTTATGGGACCCTCTAGCCTTCCCACGCTTTCCTCCTGCTCGACTCCGAAGACACTCCGGTCCATCCAACGGATACCTCCTGCGGTTTCGCGTCTCCATGATACGGATCTCTTTCGGCGGACAGTGCTGCCAACACTGTTGAATCTCCTCCACCAGCTACATCTCCCGCGCTAGGCCGCCGGTCTGCCGCCGGGCCTGATCGCGGCCGTCATCTCGGTCAAAAACCTCCGCTTCCCGACGTAGGATTCTGAAGGAGGCTGTGCTCAGACGCTCCGGAGGCCGTCTCTACCCTGCACCGTCGGGTAACCTTTCTCTCAGGTATATTACTGCTACTCCAACACAACACTCGGCAGCTCACACACTCCATCCTCAGTCCGCATGCAGTGTTGAAGCAGATTCTGCTCAGTCCTGCTCTGGAACCCCACAACCGGCATCCTCATCCTTTTCTCCCCAAACACTAATAATTGGTGACTCCGTTTCTTTAACGCTACCACTCACTGCTTCCCTGGTGCCACCACGGCTGACATTTTAAAAAAACTCCAGGACCTAATGCCGTCGCTCCCATCCTCCATACAAGAGTGATAGTCCATGTCGGAACAAATGACATAGCTCTTCAGCAGTCTGAGCTGACAAAATCAGATTTTAACAGTCTTTTTAACTTTTTAAAGCAGTGTGGAAAGTCTCTGGTCCCATTCCCACAGTTGGTCGCGGTGCTGCTGCTTCATTAGACTCCATGGCCTCCACGACTGGCTCCAGTCCGCCTACAGGGCTCACCGTGTGTTATAATTTTCATATTTTTTGGCAAAGAATGCCTTTTTAAGACAGATGGACTTCATCCAAACAAATGGGGCTCAGAAATGTTAGCTGCGCACATACAGCATGTGGTGCGATCCACACATGACTTACGTGAATGACTAATCATTCATGCAGCACACCTGGACACACCGGTCACTGAACAGATCTCTGCCTCACTGCCAAAAACAACTGTCTCCACGTGCTGGCATGTAGAACTGTCTGCTCCCAGCGTTGTTCCAAAGACTATTCTTCATCATCACGTATAGACCAGTAAACCGAAATGTGCACATCCCACACAGAAAAATTGCACCAATTCCAGCACCCAGAACAAACACATTTAAAATGGCTCTCTTCAATGTGAGATCACTTTGAAGTAAGACTTTATCTTAAATGATTTTATCTTGTCTGCAAATCTAGATTTTATGTTTTTAACTGAATCCTGGTTGCAAATGATGACTATAGCCAGCTAGCTGAACTGGTCCGCCTCAATATGATTGTTTGTCAACCGAGGGTCAGTGGTCGTTGGTGGGCTAGTGAGCGTGTATAGGAAAATTTTAAATGTTATCAAGTACGCTGTGATTAATTTAACTCCTTTGAAGTTCTCACTCTTAAAGTTGGAGGGCTGCAACCTATCATATTTGTTATAATTTATCACCCCCCAAAACTGCCTGGAGGATTTTTATCAGAACTTCCTGAATTTTTATCTACTTTGGTTTTAAATTATGACAGAATTGTATTTTGGCGATTTTAATATTCATGTTGATGACCCCACCAATGTTAATGCAACTGACTTTTTAAATATGGCCACTTCTTTTAACTTCAAACAACATGTCAAAGGGCAAACACATAACCGTGGTCATACACTGGACTTGGTTTTTACCCTGGGTGTCAGCATTTCCTCTGTGGAATTAGTGGACATGACCATATCTGACCACAGATGTATTGCTTTTAGCTGCAATTCGCCTGTTACTCATGCCGCCTCATCAAGCTCTGTGTTCTCGCATCTTTAATGAACAAAGTGTTTCAAAGTTTTGCGCATTCTTTCAGAGCCAAAGCCAACACCTGTCTGATTCCAACACCGACAATCTGGTCAATCACTTCAATCATATCTGCTTGTCGTCACTAAATATTACTGCTCCTCTAAAGGTTAGGCCTACGTCTAAAGCTAGTAAGCAACCCTGGAAAGCTAGTAAGCAACCCTGGATAAATGACAGCATTTGCAGCCTCAGAAGGAAGAATGCAGGAAAGCAGAGCACAGATGGAAAAAATCCAGTCTCCAAGTCCATTACCTCAGTCTGAAGGATTTATTAATTAAATACAATAACTTGAGAACACCTATTTTCTGAACTCATTACTACACATAAACACAATCCCAGGTTTCTGTTTAAGACTGTGGATCAGCTGGTAAACCCAACCCTCATTGTGCCTCAGCTGGAAGTAATGATGACTGTGAATTGTTTTTATCTTATTTTACCAATAAGGTGGTGTCAATCAGAGCCTATATTACCCCCGTGGCCTCTTACTCAGAGGTTCCTCACCAGCAACAAGAGAGTTTTAACCAGTTTATCCCATCGACTTGTCTGAGCTTTTAAAAACAGTATCACAAATGAGAGTGTTCTCCAGCCCACTTGATGTAATACCTACAAAGTTTTTACTCTGTTTTCAACAGCTCCCTATCTACTGGTTGTGTCCCTGATTATTTTAAAACGGCTTGCGTGAACCCACTTTTAAAGAAACCTGGTTTAGATCCCTCCCTCCCACAAAATTTTAGACCAATTTCAAAACTGCCTTTTATTGCAAAGCTTCTAAAAAGAAATGTGTCCAAACAGCTGCTCACTGTACTGGAAAATAACAAAATATTTGAAAAGTTTCAATCTGGTTTCAGGAAGTACACAGCACTGAGACTGCCCTGCTTAAAGTCACCAATGACCTTTTAATGTCTGCTGATGAAGGTATGTGCTCAGTCCTGGTACTCCTGGACCTTAGCGCTGCTTTAGACACCATTGATCACAACATCATGTTAGACAGACTGAGGCACTGGGTGGGGATCTCTGGTACTGCCCTAGAATGGTTTTCATCCTACCTGTCAAATAGGAAGTTTTGGTGTCCGTAAACAACTATGTCTCTTCGTTCTGTCCAGTTAAATATGGTGTGCTTCAGGGGTTGGTCTTAGGACCCATTTTTGTTTTCCTTGTATCTGCTTCCCTTGGACATATTATCCATAAATATGGCATTTCTTTTCATATTTATGCTGATGACACACAAATATACTTGCCCGTCAGATCCACAGACCCTGGAATGCTGAGTTCACTTAACAACTGCCTTTGTGAAGTTAAAAAATGGATGTCAAATAATTTCCTCCAGCTGAACTCAGACAAAACAGAAATCCTGGTCATTGGGTCCCAGCAGATGGCAAATCAAATACTGTCATCTGATGGTTCCATAGTAAATCACAATAAGCCTGTGGCAAAGAACCTTGGTGTTTGGTTTGATAGTATTTAAATTTCGAGCAGCACACCACAAAGCTTGTTCAATCATGTTTTTATCAACTTAGAAATATAGCAAAAATTCTATCTATGTTAACTTTTAAGGACACCGAGACCATTTTACACCTTCATCTCATCACGCCTGGATATTGCAACAGCCTTTTCAACTGTTTAACCCAAAAATCTATTGATCGACTCCAGACTGTCCAGAACTCAGCTGCCAGGCTTTTAACCAGAACAAAGAAATATGACCACATTACTCCTATTTTAGCTTCATTACACTGGCTCCCAGTATGTTTTAGAATTGACTTTAAAATTCTATTGATCACTTTTAAAGCTCTTCATGGCCTCTCGCCTTGTTATATTTCTGTTTTTTTAGTCCCATACACACAGCACGTACCTTGAGATCCTCAGGCAGAGGTCTGTTGTCTGTCCAGAGTCTCGACTGAAAACTAAAGGGGACAGAGCGTTTGCTGTCAGGGCCCCGAGGCTCTGGAACAGCCTGCCCGAGGAAATCAGGTCAGCTGAGTCAGTGAACTCTTTTAAGTCCCTTCTTAAAACATACTTTTATAGGAGAGCCTTTCCCGATCTTATTTGACTTTATTTTATCCCTTTTATTTTATTCTATTTTACTAATTTTATATTTATCTTAAACGTGTATTTTAGTCTTTTCAATGTTTTCATGCTTGTATTGTTTTTGTATTATTGTCTTACACTTGTTAAAGCACTTTGTAACTTGTTTTTGAAAAGTGCTCTACAAATAAAGATTATTATATTATTGGTCACTGGCTTTCTGTTCCCTCTGTGGATAGGCATCTTGATTTGTGGCTGTTTCTGTTATCTCTCTCAAACTCTACCAGCGGATGAGAAATAAAGAGAGAGTATGAGTGTTTGTCAGCGTAGTTCTTGAAGACCCTGGGGCTTTTTTGTCAATTTTATAGCAACCCTTTACAATCCCTTTAGTTAGGAAGGCTGGGCTACGTATGCAATGGGAATATGAGTGTGTTTGCCCTTGGTCTGGAAGAGATGCTAATATTTGGTGCTTTACCATGACTTTCTGTGTTTCTACTTGGGTTTTGAGCAGGGCAGGGTTATCATATGTGACATATTCTACAGTGTATCAGTCTCTGTCTCCTCCCTTCTCTGTCTCAGGCTGACCAGTTGATGTTTGCGATGCACTTTGTAAAAGGCATGTACCCTGAATTCTTCCAGGAGAGTGTGAGTATCTTTGTATATTTAGTATCTGCATTTTTAGGATTTCATTAATACTGATTTCGGAGACAAATTAAATATAGATAATTACAGCTTTGGACCTGAGAATTGTTTACTCTTTGCTGTAGGAATGGGATGTCTTCACTGGATCCATCGTAGGAGAAATGTTTAAGAAAGAAGTAAGAGTGCAGCTTTATTTCTGAGAATGAGAAAACACCATACTATTTCTGTCCTTGACTTACACCTCCCCTCTCTCGGCAGGAGTTCCCTTCTTGGATTGATCAGGAGAGACAAGGAGCAGTGGCCATTTTTAAAGTAAACACAGTGATATACACACTTACGTACACTACATTATTACATCATCCCCTGTATATGCAATGTGTGACAAAAGCTGAAAAATAACAGAATAATGCTTAATAATTAGTTTGACATTTGGATATTTTCTCCAAACAGTAGACAAAATGAATAGCTTAATGTGATTTAAAAAGAATGTAAGTATAGCAGTCCTTACTGAGCTTAACATCATTTCTTTCACCTTTTCAACTTGAACTATTCCTCTTTCACAGGCTACATTCCCAGCCCTCTACCAGTCCCTGTGTTTGAGTGATTTAGAACTGTGGCTGTCCTTCTCACAGAGCTCGCAGTGTGAACAGGAAATCCCATCCTCCATTGTCAAGAAGATTACTCCCTTCCAGCAGGTCAGTTTTCAATCAAATCAGCCAAATGGAACAACTTATCATTATTTATATTAGTATATCAAAAGTAGGGGTACACTTATTTTTGTACCTCTGTTTTGTCGTGATTTAATTAAGTTCTGTTAGTCAAGTTATTTGGGCCCACACAAGAAACTGAGAGTAGCTGGTAAGTTTCAATATTATAACACCAACACAGAAAACCTAGGCTCAAATGAACAGCATTACAGGCAAGAGTCCAAACACAGGTAATAAAGTCTGTAAACAGAAACCTAATCCCATGGGGAATAATCAACCACAGCATATCCAAAAACGGGCTGAGAACACACAGTGAGCACACGGAGACACTCGACAACGATGATAATGCAACAGGTAGTGGAGACTCAGACATTATATAAAGATTCACACAAGCAGGAAGGGGAACAAAACCGTTGGAACACATTAGGGTAACCGACCAGACAGGAAACAAGCTTGAGATAAACACCAGGAGCAGATGATCGCTACACTTAAACAGGAAACAGGACAAGACACTGGAACAATGACCAACTGACAGAACACAGACCAAAATCTAGAACATATTTGAACAAGCATGCACGCACACGGACCAAACAGACAGACATACACACCAGTACCAAAAATAGACAGGAAAAGCAGAACGAACACCATGACGAGAGTAAGTAACTATTTTAATTTATTTTGAAACATTTAAACATTCAACAGTGGCTCATTGACCGCAATTCTTATTGTAAAAGTTAAGGCAAATGTCAATAATACTCCATCATAAGACTCTGACCTGTTGATAATTCCTGAACGACTGCAGCATGCGCTACACAGTGCAGACAGAACGGACTAACTAGCACATGTGAAAGACCTTTGACCATATGCTGTAATTCTGTGTTCTCTACAACCTAGAACGGTTGCATACCTGCAGCAATAAACACCTTGGCATGGTCTGAATCTGTAGTGAGACTGCTTGGACGTTATGGGGAGAGGGACTTGCCTTTCAGTTTGCTTTTGTCTCGTTCCCCTAATTGACACTTTCGGTGATGCTGTCATAAATTGCATGTTTGCCGTGTTTCCACAGACATACTTGGCTTCAGTTGAACAATGTTATCATACAGTTTGACACTAATTCTTGTCAATTTTTGGTGTAATGAACCGGTAAACTGACACTACATGAGCTTGGCTAACCTGGCTAACCCGGCTAACCCAGCTAAGGAGATTAGCAAGCTACCGCTAGTATATGCAGCTGGTGCATATGGCTGAACAAAATTAATTACGGACAGCCTGCAATAGAAATTGCAGTATGGCCAAGTGTAATATCCAAATCGCATGAGCTGCAATTTTCTGATAAAAGTAAAACATCTCATACCACAACATACAATTATAAATGACGCATTGTGGTGCTACAGAGATGTCCCGGCCTACAAATCATATTAGACATTTCGTACACACCCCAACAAAAATCACATCATTGTTTTTATATATTTTTCAGTGAAAATGTGTGACTCATATCGCAATAAAAAAAACAAAAAATCTTGTTCAGCCATACTGGTGGACCGCCCCCAAAAAAAGGGAGATAGAGAGAGGGTGGGGGGAGCACTCAATATAATATCCACACAGAAATACAAACCGTAAAGGTAGTAGCGGTAGAGAAAATGAATGATGGTACTGATTAATATAGTAATAGTAATGATAATAATTATAGGACTAGACTCGCAACCACAGATCCAGACCCCACAGCTTCAGACCCAGAAGGGAAGGAGCGAAGTTAGTAACATGCATTAATGGGATAAGGTTGCATACAGATGGAAAGAGAGAGAGGAGGAGAGATGAGCTCAGTGCATCATGGGAAATCTCCCACCAGTCTAAGCCCATAGCAGCATAACTAAGGGATGGTTCAGGGCTCACCTGAGCCAGCCCTAACTATAAGCTTTATCAAAGAAGAAAGTCTAAAGCCTACTCTTAAATGTGGAGATGGTGTCTGCTCCCGAAACCAAACTTGAACCTGATTCCACAGGAAAGGAGCTTAATAATTGAAGCATAATACTACCAAACAGGATTTCTCCAAACATTGATAAGCGATATTATATAGTATATTATCATTAAGTTTATTTGAATGTAGGTCCTTTAAAACCTTAAATTTTCCCCTTACTTACTTTATTGATCCCCTCGGGGAATAAATTCATGAACTGAATAAAGACTTAGCTGATCTCATTTCAAAGCATGAACAAGACAGAAGCCCCTTGTCACTAAAGACAAGTATGCACACTTGACTGTCATGGGCTTACTTATTTACTTTGTTTATTGTCTTCTCAAAAATAAAAAAAAACAAAAACAAACCAGAACATCTCAAAGCCTCTGAATTTGAAAACTTATGTATCCAAGTTAACCTTTTTTTTCTTAAAAGCTGACTTTTTGGATATGTAACATTTCTATTTGATATGATTGGGATTGACCATCTGTCTAACACATTTTAATGGACACCTGGTCTTTGTTATCTAATGTATGTTTTTCTCTTTGGTCTCCCCAGCTGTTATTGGTTCAGGCAGTCAGACCAGACCGACTGCAGAGTGCCATGGCAGTATTTGCCACCCAGGCCTTGGGTAAGTGTTTCATTTTGGGGCATTTCATCGTTTTTATGATTTCAATACATGTTGCTAAGTAGACTGGAGTTAAACTTAGTACCGTTCTACTATGGTGGACCACAATACACATAAAAAAGCATTTATTATTCACACCGATTTTGATATTTGAGGATTTTATATGGGCTGATAATATCAGCACACCGATTTTCAGTCAGGTTCTATTCACAAAATATTCACTCTGCCCACTAGGCCCCTAGCCGCTCTGCAAATGGGTCCCATCTTCATTGATATTTACAAGGTTTTTCTTCTTTCCTTATTTTCTCCCCCTTGTCAGACCTAGACTCTAAAACTGAGTTTCACATTAATATATAGGCATGTATCACATCTTATGCACACCTTTAACGTGTATTACAGATTTTGAAGGTAAACAAAAGTATTAAGAGCTGTTTAAAACATTATTATTCTGAATATCTTCTGAATAATGAGCTGTAGACATCATAAATTGCTAGATTCTACTTTACCCCTTTTTGGTAAACTACTTCTCCCTCATTCTCCTATATGAAAAGATTTATTTATTTATTTTAAACCTGTCCTGCCCGGCAGCCTGGTATGAGTATGAGGAGCTGGATACCATATTGTGCCAGACAGATTTTTACTTTAACAAGAGAGTATTAATATACTCCTTTGTCTGTATTGTTATTTATTCAAATCTATTTGTCACCGGGCCAGACAGGGGACAGACATGGGGATGGGGAATAGAAACACCACATAAACACACAGCACAGAGAGAGGGCAACACCTGTAAGAGAACGGGGATGGGGGGTGGGGAGGAGAGAAACAAACAAACAAAAAACAACAAACAAACAAAAACAAAGAGACAACCAGCCGAACAGTAGCAATAAACAGCTGACATAGGAAGACAATTAAGAGAGAAGTGAAAACGAGAAAAATTTCAGGCAACATAAATAAACAACACAGCACTGCCGTGAGAACTGAAATAATAACAATTCATTTAAATAAGTGACTTCACTCCCAGACGAATCGCGTCGCGAACGCAGAAGACCCCGACCCGACCAGCAAACGCCAAAGACACCAGCCATCCAATTGACAACGCAATGCCGTCGGAAAGCAAAAGGCAGAACCCGCAGAAGAGTGGCACCTGGACCGACCGCGGCACGCAGACAACAGAGGCCAGTGCCACCCCGAACGGGCAACCAAACTGGCAAAATGCCACGCAATCATCAACATCAGCACGCAAGTGACGACCCCAACCCGCACACCACCCGCGCACAGTGAGACCCACTGGCCGGTAGCCCCGCTGCCAGGGAGTGTTAACGTGGGAAAACCAGGGCCAACCAGCCCAGCCGGAGGCTGCCCCCCCCCCTCAATGTGCAGGCAGAGCCAGCAGCCCCCCCTTTCAACCACCCCCAAGGAAGGGGTCCAAAACCCACCACGACAACATGTGCCCCAGGGATTCCCGAATGCCCCCACAGTGAGAGAGGTGGCAGGGTGAAGCAGCGGGAGCCCCAGCCCTGCCGAAGAGGGCCCCATATGAAAATATTTCTGTTGTTTTTCCCAAGCATCTTCTGTCATCAAATTCCACTCAAGCAAAATATTCTCAGACAAAGCTTTTATTCCGGATTTCTGAGCCATACTTCAATCGTCAATGATGTGATTTTGTTTCGTGATAGTCCACTCTATCCTTTCTCTTTATGTGTCTTTTAGCCCTGTGAGAATGCCACTGTCCTTCAGTAAATGACACACACACACACACACACACACACACTTCTATGTCTGTTGTCTTTTCTCATTGTCTCTCTCTCCCACACTGACTTCTCACACACACACACTCACACGATGATGTTGCTAGAGAGTGCTTAATGAGCCCGTGCATTCGGTCCAGATAATCCTAATGGTGTGTTGGATTCTGACTTCACTATCTGGGACACTGCTAATTTGTGTAAGGTGAAACCAATATGCAGGTGTTAATATGTGTATAAAACTAACTTTCCATTGTGTGTGTACTGTGTGACAAGACATGCTAATGTTTTTTCATGTTTATATAGGTTTTGCCTGTGTTAGCAGTGTAGCATTGCTTTGTTTGTGTGTTTGAGAATGTACATTCATCTGTCCATCAATGTCATCAGTTTTGTGTGTGTGTGTGTGGCGCTTTTGAGCTGCTCACAATCCAGTTAATTACTAATGCCGAAAGTAATTTTCCAGATAATTTTAGTAATTTTAGTTAAGTTAAAAAAGAAAAAAAAAATCTTTTTTAAAGTTTTCTACTGTGTTTAGATTTAGAAAATATACATAATAAAACCATATGAAACAAATTAATAACAACCCTATTCAACCCTAGTAGACGATTATGAAGATTTCCTTCCAGTATCATGACAAATACCATGATACAGAGCGAACAACGACACAGCAAGTAATGTAATTAACATTAGCTAAGTTGTGGGTTATCAAACTGTCACTACAGTTGCTGCTGCAAAGCTAAAATGCAGACAGGAGGAGACGGTCCCAGAGACAACACATTAGCTCCAGACAGCGACATTCACTGCTCTCCTGCTACTATAGCTAACATCACAACAACAGCATGTCTTGGCAAACTTGAAAGTAAGCTGAATGTCCGTGTACAAAGACCGGAGGTTTTTTTAAGTACACACACAGAACGGAAAGAGATTATGCGGATCATGAGGACATATTCACAGAATTTGACAAAAAGATGTGTATTGGATTAGATACACACCCCACCTTTAAGTTTCACTTTTAGTCTGTTCAGTTGTGCATTTTGAATACAAGGATACACTCTATTTCCATTAGTGTCTGGTCGTGCACCTGCTAAAATCAAATACACACGTGCATTTTAAAAAGCCTTACTTGATGTGTTAACCTTGGGGAAATCTACTGTATGTGCTTTGGACATCAGAATCTTTGTCATATGCACATTCATTAATGAATAAACAATAACTCAAGGCCAAACATTCCTCTCCCACCATACAACATAATTTACATTGTGCTGTTCCAGGGGTTTTCGACAAGTCTGATGATACCTGATGATGATGCTACATGGAAAGTTCGGGATCCCCAAGTTATTTAAATTTCAACCTGACAGGGGAATTATTATGTAGACCATTTTTCATGCCAATCTATCAAATAGTTGTTAAGACATTTCACTCAAACATACAAATGTACTTGTACCATGTACCTCATGGTAGCGCTGGAGAGAAGGTCAGGGTATACCAAAGTACAATACATTGTCTGTAAACCATGAATGTCGGTACAAAATGTCATGGCAGATATTTCAATCTAGAACAAAGTGGTGGATTGACCAACCGAAAGACTGACGTTGCCATCCATTGAGCAATGCCCCTAGTGTGGCTAAAAATAAATACTACAGATTCTCTGTCTTGTGCACCCCTTTAATTGCCATAATTACTAAATCGGTAGCGGTAAAGTGGGGATTTAAAAGCAACGTATGGTGACACCAAATGATTGACATAAAGGTTTCAGTCACCCTTATATTATTAATTTCATGACCCAGGAAAGAGACAGTTTTATACAAAATGCTGTAAACTGTTACAGTAATGTGTTTGTCAGCTTGATGTTGAACTAATCCATCCTCTTTGCATGACAAATTTACATTGACTGCATTTAGCCAATGTGATGTGTTTATCTTGCCTGCTGGCTTTTCAATAACTATCTTTGTATCTTTTACCAGAGAGGCTCAGCAATGTCAGCATAGCTACATTTACTGGATGGCAGCAAAAATGGTTAGTGAGGTAGACAGAATATTATAAATGAGATTGTTGCCACATTGGTTAGACCATAGTAATTAACGTTACTGTACTGAATGGATATGGAATTTTGTTGAGACACGATAATCCTAATCTAACCAGAATTATAAACAATATGATAGTATGAGAAACATACAGAACAGGAGATAAAGCACATAAAATGAAAACAACGTATGAAATAACCTGCTTTTTTCTGTCTTCTGTATTAATTCCATGCAATATTGCAGTTTACCTTGTCATTACAGTTGCCATTGTTTATTTCAGCAAAGCTAAAAACCATTACATAATTTCTTGCAGGCTAAAACCAACACTTTGACATAATACTGGTACTCAGGATAGTAATATGGATCACGTTAGCTGGTGAAGTATTGTGGCAAGCCATAACGTTACAATTACAGTATTTTGCACCGGATAACTTTAGCAAGTGGTCTGCATTAGCCAGCAAGCTAACATTATCCAACTTCAGCCAACTAAAAATCACAGTAATTGCAGTAATGTCACTTTATTGTACCAATTGAATGAAATCTAACTTTATTTTTATATTAAGTTTAGTTTTTATATTTAGTTAAATTTTTATATCCAAAACAAAGTGGCCTCATGGGCTTAATAATTTTTTTTGCTGTTTATCCTTACGTGGAGTTTGTGTTGGGGTCTCTGTTGTGAGGTGGTTATTTTTTGGTGTTAGCCGACTCCATGTCATTATCTGCCCACTGTGTTGTCATTTGGTTTTAAAACACCTGCCCCGTGTGAGGCTTGAACTCACGACCTTCAGATTATGAGACTGACGCGCTGCCTACTGCGCCAACGAGGCCTGAAAAACAGTGCATTCTGATATTCAGCTGTGACCATGCAGTTAGAGCTCTTCTCACAGACTAAAAGGTGAGCCATAACCCTTCAGCTGGACAGTTCAGTCTTGACCTCTGAAACAATAATTGACAAAACAGTCTTAACAAAACGTCCATCTATTTGCTTGTTCCGGAGCTTTCCGCTATATCACACAGTCTTCGTAGTTGGATGCAATTGCTCAGTTGACATGGAACTGAGCACGTTTGTGTATTTTTTTTCATAGATTCACACAGTCTTCGTAGTTGGACAGTTCAGTCTTGACCTCTGAAACAATAATTGACAAAACAGTCTTAACAAAATGTCCGTCTATTTGCTTGTTCCGGAGCTTTCCGCTATATCACACAGTCTTCGTAGTTGGATGCAATTGCTCAGTTGACATGGAACTGAGCACGTTTAAACTTAGCGTTTTTCCAAACAATTTGAAATTTCTCTTCCCTGTTAGCTTAAGAGTTTACAGTTCACGGTCACGCTGGTGGTGACTGAAGGTCGTGACTGATGCGCTGCTCAATAACAACAATGTATCTGCACAGCAAATGCTCACATAAAGGCTACAATTAACTTTAGATACTTTTATGTCCTGACCCAATACTGAGGCAATGTCAAAAGAGTGGGAGCCAAGGTTGAGGCAAACACAAG